TCGATCGATCTTTATCCATCAATCTCTTTATCAATATCTGTCTGTCTACCGTCGACACCTCTCTCTCTCTCTCTCTCTCTCTCTCTCTCTCTCTCTCACACACACACACACACACACACACACACACACACACAAACACGCAAATCGAGCAGAGTACCTTGCTTGCCAAGGAGCGGGAGACAAATGAAAGAGACGTGAAAGTAGCAGGCAGTCATGGGAAGGAGAAAACGCCCACCTTCCACTCACGTCCGAAGTTTTGCAGAGCGAGCTGGATGAAGTTTCCCGGCACGGCTGCTGAGGCCTGCCAGTACCGCGCTTGGAATCCATAATCGAAACCCACGACGTTCTTCTTCCACTTCACGGTCACCCTCCCTTCATCGTTATCGCTGCCGTTACCTCCACCGTTCTCCTCCCCTCCCTTTTCCCTCTTAACGTCATCGCCTTCCTGGGCATAGCTGATGCCATCATCACCTCCACCTTTCGTCCACGTGGCAATCGCTACATCCGTTGATGATGTTCCATCTTCCCCCGCCGCCGCCGCCGTCGAGTCCAGAGCAGTCGACGACGGCGTTTTTTTGCTAACGGAAGACGAAGATCCTTGCTGCCCTGCTGTGGAAGAGGAGGAGGACGCCATAGCCAGACCTCGCCGTTGTCCTGTCTTCTCCATGCTGTTGACATCAACTTCTTGCCTTCTTCTTCCTCTGTTCATCCAACTGCTGCTACCTGGCCGCCATGTCATCATTTTTTTGTGGACCCCACACCGCGATGACAGGGTGCTCTGACAAATAAACACCCCCAAAACGTCAGACGCCCACCACCTCTCCCCATCTCCATCCACGTGTCGGCGCGCCAACCACCTGTGCTCTTCGACGTGGCAGCAGCAGCGCGCACGAGAGAGATCTGGACATCGCCGCCGTCGCCGACGATTACAAGTCGGCTGCTCCCACGTGTTGGCGGGAAGCTGCTGCCACGTGTTGGCGGGAAATCCTAGAACCACCCGCGGCATCTGCGCGCCAATCCATCGCTGCTGCCGCTGTCTCTCTTGCTTTGCAGACGCCGGAGGAGGAGGGGCAATCGCCATCGTCGTCTTCGGACGAGGAATTCTATTCCCGCGTAGCTTGCCACGTGTCCTCGGCTGACGTGGACACGCGTACGGCTTGTCATCCGTACAAGTACTGAAGGTGATCGGGATCGGAGCAGGGCTGAGCGTGATAGCGACACGTGTCTTCTCCACAACACGTGACACGCATGTTCTCCTCACCCGTAGGGTGGAGGCATTCGACGAATACGACGGACTTGCTCCATATGGAGCGCTTCTCAGCGATGGCGATGGCGACGGCGACACGTACATAATTACTGCTTGCTTGCTTTCTTGGTTGCTTGACGTCAACAACTATTTTTAACTTTGTCCCTTGTGATCCACGTGGCAACAAATCTCTGTAGGATAAAGCCAACGTGCGTGAGTGAACGAGCGGGCGAGCGAGCGAGCGAGCTAGCGACAGGCGATGATCACAGACAGTGGACGCGAGGGACACACGGCCCTAACTAATTGATTGATCATTTCTCGCTCTATGGGTCTCACCCTTGTGCAGGGGCCATGCTAATTAAACTTCTCTGTATGGTTGCAATTACTTATAACGGATGTGCCGAAGGCCAACACCCTCCCCCCACTCCTCTAATATAAAAGAAAGAAAGAAGAAGAACAGCCCTAATAGTAGATCACCTCCCGAAAAAAAAAGAAAAAAAAAAAGAAAAAAAAAAGAGTAGATCACCTCGATAGAGAGGGGGACTTGTGGGGCCTGGTCCGATTAGCAAAGAGGATTGGATTTAATTCCTGAATCTGGACATGTTTGTGGAAAGATGCGGAAAATTGAGATTGATCAGCTTTTCTGCATCTGCCCGCCAAACACATCCAGATTCCCGAATTAAATCTAATCCTCTTTGCTGATGGGACCCGGCCCCTGGAGCGCAGGATACACCCCCCCCCGCCCCCGGCCACCTCCCCTTCTCCCCCCCCTAAAAAAAGAAAAAGAAAAAGGAGATTGCAAGAAAAAAAGAAATGGTCCAAACACAACAAAAAAAAAAAACAAAAAAAAAGAAGTACAGAGAAGAAGACGAAGACGAAGACGAAGACGAAGAAGAAGAAGAAGAATTTCAAACTGGCGGGTCTCTGCTGTTCCTCATGGGACGATTCGACGATCACCGACTGTACTACTCAACATTGTGCACGTATTTTGGACTGAAGCGTGGACCAGATACATTTGCCAATGGGTTGATTGAACTCTCTTTTTTTTTTTTGAATCAGTAGCTCTTCTAAAAAAAGAGGAAAGAAAACTCAAGCAACGGTTGATGACAGCGATGAAGGGATGTTCCTGCCTCGTCGCTGAACGGGCCTGGATCCACTACTCGCCGAACGTGCAAAATGAGGATGAATCTTCCGCTAGAACATGGAAAGATACACTGCCATATGTTTTGGCTTTTGTGGAGGAGGCCCAATGGTACACAAATGTAACCGTTAACGAGCTCTGCCTGAGCTCAAATCCTGGGAGGAGGTCCCACTAGCAAAGAGGGTTGGATTGAATGGCTGAATCTGGACGTGTCTGTGGAGAGGTGCACGAAATTGGGAGTGAACCGCTTTTCTGCATCTCTGCTGAAAACCCATCCAGATTCCGAAGCTTAATCCAATCTTCTTTGCTACATAGTGGGACCTCACTGCTGACGTTTGACGAAGCACACACACACGCACAACTATGGGCCTCGCTGCACTACTCCGCAAATGTGCAAAACGAGCATGAATCTTCCGCTAGAACATGGAAAGATGCACTGCCATACTTTTTGTCTTTTGTGCACGTGGAGAGGACTGCAGGGAGGGTTCACCTCAGCTTGGCAAGGACGTCTCCTCCATCTCGACATCGCTAGGATGCACAGACGAAGAACAAAGAGCCGACACGTGTTCGATACGATACGCAACGAAACTATGGCGGGATTTTTTTATTTTTTTACTTTTTTATTTTTTTTGGATATGGCGGGATTTCGGGTTTGGGCGGGAGAACAAAAGGAGCTGCCTTTTTTTTTTTTTTTTTTTTTGGACCATTTCTCGATTTATGCGTGTTTTTACGATTTTACACACATGTAACTTGGTAAGCAGATCATGAGTTCGAATCTTCGAATCTTGCGCCTACTGCAAATGCAAGGCTACGAGCATCCTGCCCTGTGGGCATCAACGGGATACGGACTATAGTCACGAAATGTTTTCAGAAAGAATGGCGAATGAATCTTCCGCTACAACGTGGGAGTATACACCCGCCACAGCTTTCGTCTCTTTCACTTTTGGTGACTGGGGCGCCGAGCCCCCATAGGTCATTAACCGCAGATTGACAGCTGACTTCCCCCGAACACAACGCATTCTCATTTTGGCTGTATCGGACCGAGAAGGTATACATTCACCATCAGCGTGCGTTATGTTTTCGGGACGGCGGTAGCTCTTGTTCACGTTTCGAACGTCAGCATATTTTGTCTTCTTTCCGCCGAACAAATTGTTTTGAGGAAAATTTATCTGGCACCCCTGTATTCTCCATTATTTTGCGTCGCGCCCGATATACCCTGTCGGGCCCCTCTGACCACCAGTGAAATTTTCCATAAAACCCTGGTGTCATTGAGTCCTCATATGTGTTCGAAGTGCCCCTACCGGTACCCAAACCAAATTTGTAGCATGCCCCTATGTAAAATTTCTGATATGCCCCTACCAGTACCATCGATCTTTTGCGGCTGACCTCATGCTACTTCCATCTATAGGATGGGCAAAATAGAATGAATCTACAGCTAGAACATGGAAATATACACTGCCACACTTGTTTGTGTGTGTGTGTGTGTGTGTGTTTTAGATTTTCCCCACAACAGCCCCAATTCCACCCAGGTGAATAGATTCACAATCAAAGCAGTCTTTAGCCTATTGCAGACAACCAGTTTTGAGATGTCCAACATATTAAAGCAATTTTATAATTAGACAGTTTTTTGGTTGTTCTTGGGGTACCCCTTTCGTTGTTTTTGCAGCTCCCCTTTTACTGTGCCTCTTACGCGCAAGGCTGCCCATGTTGATTGTGGTTGAGCAGCAGCTGCCCACATCCCCGTGTGCCTCCACGGCCCACTTGCACATTATTTCGGGAAGCAGAAGAAAAGGTAAGGTATGCTCCTGTGCATCTCTTCAGAGCTTCATACTCCTGTCCATTTCATTTCAGATCTTCAGCTTATTTCGTATCATTATTTTGCAGTGATTATTATTGTTATTAGTTATTTATTTGAGGTGATTATTATTGATATTAAGGAGGGAAAGCAAAGCCGCGTGGAAGAAGGTAACAAAACGTGGAAGCCCTACTGGACGGGCTGCGCAGGTAATGGGGGGAAAAACAGAGACAGAAGATGTCTCCCGGGTAAGTTCTCTTTGCAAATTTCGGCTGGGTTTTTCGGCAGGCCTGGAGCGAGCTCGGATTTTCGAAGCAATGCTTGCTTCGTTTTTTGTCGCTTGTAAGGATTCGCGTTGATTTCTGCCACGATTCTTAGACGTAGGACTATCGAGATATTGCTGTAAGCTCATGGGCTCCGGTAGGCCACAAGTTTACTCGGATTTTCGTAACACTACGTGCCACGACAATGCTTGGAGACGAGTCTGAATCTTGTCGTTTTATTAGATATCTGTGGATTCCTGTGTAATAAGCTTGGGGGAACTACACGGCCGGCCCAGAACTCCAAGGAAGCACTGACAAGCCTTCCCTGAAGTCGAACCGGCGGGAAAAAGGATGGAAACACGTGTGTGGAGGCTTCGGAGAAGAATGGGAGGCATTTCSAAGAGGGTAGGAGCTCCTACCGGGGAAATTGCACAGGAAACAGTAGCTCGTTGACGTAGAAGCAGGTAGGGCGGAGCGTCGACATCAGGAGGAAGTTAGTATAAGTAGATAGCGAGTCGATGCCTAAACGTCTCGAACCCCCTGATGAGGTCGCTATCTGGCAGTGACCGAAACTAGTCGGGGATGCCAGCTACCTCTACTTGATGGAGGTGCCATAGCCAAGGTTATGGTGTACGCTTTAATGTCCTATCCTTCGAAGTGCCATAGCCAAGGCTATGGTGTACGAGCCTTAATGTTTTATCCTTCGATGTTCTCTTTCGAGATTGTTATCACATATGCTGCCACGCTCTTCGTGGTTATGTGTTTTCAGCGTTGTCTGGTTGTGAATGACCCTGCTGTTTCTATCATCTAGATAAAAGCAGAGGCAACCTGCCAGGACACTGCCTGCGCGCTGGCGGCCCTGCAACTGGTATTTGGTGACGAATCGTGGTCGAGGTACTTGGGCAGCTCCTACAGAAGGAGACTGCTGTTCGAAGGGAGATTCAGCGACTGGCGAGAGAGAAGAACGAGTTGAATGGCTAGTGGAGGCGACAATGGTAATGGTGGTGGCAACAGTGGTGGAGGTAACTGGAACGGTGGAGGAACCAATAACAGAAACGGGAATGGAGGAAACTGGGGAGGAGGAAACAATGGGGGATGGAACAACGGAAACGGCGGAGGAAACGGAGGGGGAGGAAACTGGGGCGGTGGAAATAACGGAGGAGGAGGTAATGGAAATGGGAACAACGGGAACTGGAATAGCGGGAACGGCGGGAATTGGAACAATGGCGGATGCTCAAACAACGACAACGGAGGGAATAATGGCGACTGGAGAAGAACAGTGAAATGCTATAATTGCAACCAGTTTGGCCATATTAGCGGAGAATGCAATGCGCCAAGACAGACGAATGGCGGTGGGAATTGGAATAATAACGGGGGCAACAACGGGAGTTGGAACGGAGGAAATAACGGAGGGGGAAGACAAGGCAACTTCGGTGATGGTGGTAGCAGTCCGTCTTCTACCGCCAGGCAAACGCTATCGGCATCAGCAAAGATCTAGAGGAGTCGCTGAAAGCAGTGTGTCAGTTCTCGCAGAGACAGATCGAGATTGAGGAGCGCCGTGAGACTGAAAGACGGGAGGCGGAGGAACGTAGGAAACATCAGGAGGAGGAACGAGGTGCGAGAGAAGAAAAGAACCGAGTGGAGTTAGAGAAAAAGAAAGCTAAGGAGAAGAAGGAAGCCGATCGCGAGTGGAAGCTACATATCCTACTAGCAAAACAGAAGGAAGCATTAAGGGAAGAGTTTGAGAGAATGTTTGACAAGAAGCTGCGAAAGGCAGTCGTATATGAAAAGGCCGTGAAAGGGAAAGCACCAATATCGTTCAGCTCGGAAGAAGAAGACGAGGATCCTCCGGAAGACCGCCTGGAGAAACGTAAGAGACAACCGGTTGTGCTGCGCCAAGCCAGCCCACCTACCGAGTCACCTACGAAGATGGGCAGAGCTACTACGTCGGCACCCCCGACTACTCCTGCTCAGCCGAGTGAATCTCCTCGTTTGAGAGCTCCTCAGCAGCAGCCGCGGAAGGATGGTGTACAGCTGGGCTACCCCTATCAGAAATCCAGTCTGTGGGAGGGAGCGCCTACCGCCGAAGACTTCAGTACCACAAATGCCTTCCGGAAGGCGATCCGAAAATTCTTGGGAAAAAAGTTAGTTGCGACAATTCAGGAGATGTGCAGGGAAGCTGGAGTGGCATATCGCGGACAGCCAAACGCTGTCGAAGAACTGATTGAATTAAGAGTTATGTATTTCAGCATAGAGGCGAACCACCAGCCACCGCGCGTCACGACTCCGACTCAGAGACCCCGCGGCGGCGGGATCGTCATTAGGGAGGTGTGGGAAACCCAACCCGAGTCCGTGAACCGCCAGTTCCGGACCAGGATATGACTCCAGGGAGTTTCGACCTACAAAGAGAGTAACTTATGGAGTGAGCTGAGGAATGCCATCGAACTCCGAAGATCGCTAGTGAATGAGAATGCAGTAGGAATCAAACGATTACGCTTGATCCTGGAAAGCGTCTTGAGGTATTTAGTAGTATTACTAGTGCTCAACGGGGATGTGCAATGGGGTAATAAATTCTCGGGTAGCTGGCTAGACTTAATCGAAGGGAGAGTGAAAGACTGGAAGAACCCGGAAGGATGTGTGTATGTGCTGATAGACCCGGGGACGAGGGCTACGTATATTGGTCAGACCAGTCGTAACCTCCTTGTACGATGGGGTGAGCACGCCTACAGGGCGAATCACAGGTGTGGGACGTAGGATTCCAATTTGTACAGCTGGCTTAGGCACCATGGGGCTTAGAGCTGCATCGCTCTCCCGATCGCGTTCGTACCTAAGGACGATCTGGAAATAGTTGAGAAAACTTCCATCCGTAAGTGGTGCCCAAGCCTGAATGCGAAAGGAAGGAGAAAGTCGAAAGAAAGGGGGAAACGAAAAGGAAGAAAGGAAAGGAAAAAGTCTAGAACGTACGATGTTAGGAGTGAACGACCGTTAACCTTGAGTATTGATGGTAGCCGATCGGTGAGCCTAATTAAAATATGTAGAGAAGCTTGGATGGAAAAGAAAACGATCATATCGGAAGGGGGGAAGCTCTGGGTACAGACATGGGGGATAACTGTTAAAGAGATTGGACAGACTGTAGTGGTGTTGAATAGGGAAGAAAAAACGATCAGGGAGTGTAAGCTGGAACTAGAAGCAGGCGGCGCGGTCGAGATTGTGAAGTGGCAAGGAAAGATGCTGTCGAAGGCCAACGCCAATTGAAAACGAGAACTGCATCAGATCATCCGAAACTGCTGGTACAGAAAAAGACTGTATTGCTACAGTTTGGATAAACTTATGAAATTAGTCTCAACATTTGATTTGTTCTCCAAACCGGCATCGCGAAAGAATCTCAAAGATGTGTTAGCAGGCGTGCTATGGAAAAAAAATTGAGTTAATATCCGGAAGAAAGCGAGTGTGAGTGTCACTTACGATTGGAACCTGTCCTTAAGAAAGCTACGTGAAGTAGTTTGTGGAAAGATCTGGGAGGACCTACCCCAATCACTGGCTAACTACACGTGTCGGGGGCTTTTGATGGTCAGGAAACGAAACCTGACCGTCGGAGGAATGCTCCATAACCATCATTCTGCTTCACAACAGTTCGTGGAGGTCTGCACCTGTGCAGGCAGCGCCCTCCCACGGGAGGAGGGTCACGTGCAGTGTAAGCTCAGTGAGGTAGAAGGAATGCATGAATTCATGTTGAACGCGCAAAACATCGTGTACGAAGGCGGATGTATGAGGAAGTATAAAACGGCAAGGGAGGTAAATGATTGCCTAGCAATGCTAGGCCTACGATCGAAGGTACAGCTACATGAGATTGAGAGAAGCGTTAATGGTAGAGTATTACCGGAAGACAACCACGTAGATAAAGTTAAGGACGTTATGGGTATGTGTCGAGATCTGGTCTGTAGCGCAGTGGACAGAAACTCGGCAGATACAGTTGTAATGTGCCTGACGGTTTACGCAAAGGGAATGGAAGAAGTGTTCTGGGGTAGTGACAGCTTCACTGCCAGTCACAGTGACGAGGATGAGGTTCTACTACGATGTGAAACTGTTTTCAAAGCGAACGGACTAGAGAGACTAGGGAGATGGGATAGGAAGGGATCAGTTGGTCGAGCCTACATTCTGCCTAAGAACAAAGACATAAGTAGATTCAGACCGATTAGCCCTTCTTTTTTCGAACCAACGAAGACAGCAGGGAGAAGAGTCGCCTGAGCCTTGAACCATCTGTTGTTCCTACTACCCAAGTCGATGCATTTCAATTTGAAGTCAACTGAGCTATTGAAAGATCGGGCGTTCGAGGCTAATAAATAGGTCGAAAGAAAAGGACAGGGCAAGCTTGTGGGAGCAGCCTTTGACATTAAGGAAATGTTTAGCCAACTCCCACACGCTTCTATACTAACAGTTGTGGATTGGCTGCTGGAGTGGTACAGGCAGAAAGGACGAACAACGGTAAGCATTCGCAGAAGGGGGAAGGGAGCCGCGTTTGCAAAGAAAACAGGGATTCGAACGAGTTCTGGATGGAGATTGACTTCGGAGATATCAGAAAGATGGTGGCCTTTGAATTGGGAAACACCTTCGTTTCTGCGTCCGAGAGATTAATTCAGCAACATGTAGGCATCCCAATGGGAAAAAGCAGCAGCCCCCCGTTGGCCTGCATTCTGTGCGCAATGAATGAATTCTCCTTCTTGTCGAGTCTTGGAGCAGACAGAACGTTGGTGAAAGGGTGGAGACTGATTGACGATGTAACCATTCTCATCTGGTGTCCAGCGAAGAATGGTGTCATTCGGCACGATCGAATCATGAGCCTAATTGAAGCAACCTACGACGAAAAACTGACTCTGAAACGAACGGACAGTGGGGAGGGCGTCTGGGACTTCCAAGGTGCGAGAGTGGAAATCCGGGATAACAGAGTGTCATGCCAAAGTTTTCCGAAGAATTTTGATCAGGTATGGAATTCGGAGAAGGGTTTATCCTATCGCACCTTCCAAGACTTCGATTCGTACTCTACTTTGAGACAGAAGAAGGCGGTAGTGACGAACACTCTTTATAATCAGGGCTATGACGAGGACGAACGAGTTGGCGGGCCTCAGTTTACTGGCGGTGAAGCGTCAAGTGCGACTACAGAAGAACCCGCCGTGGATTTTCAATGAATGTCTATGCAAATTTATCAGGAAGCATGCACCAGGGTGGGAAAAGTGGAGCAAGAGATTCAGTGGATGGTAACCTGTAGCTCGTAACTAAGTATCGGATGAAAAACGAATCATGAAATAAGACGGGAACAAAGACTGCAAGAAAGGGAATCAGGCAATAGGACGGGGGTATGGCTAAAGGGTATGGCTAAATGCATGGGGGATATTCTCAGGGAAATGATACTGGGAGCAGGAGAAGAAGACAATTTAGCTACAAGAAACGAGTAAATGGACGGGAGCATGGCTAAAGACATGGGGGTATCTCTGGGTTTCATAGCTTTTACTGGGTCATTCGGGATTTTTCTGTTGTTCTGGGAATGATACTGGAGCGCGGGAAGAAGGGGGTAAGTATGGCTACATACATAAAGGGTGTCGCCTGGTCAGAATGCGGGGAGCAGGGATGAAGGGTGTGTGCTATTTTTTTTTTTGTGCAGGTTTCGCGTGGGAGTTACGCCGAGGGTTTATTCCACTTGGGTAGCATTACTGATTTCGCATCATTATTTTGCAGTGATTATTATTATTATTAGTTATTTATTTGAGGTGATTATTATTGATATTAAGGAGGGAAAGCAAAGCCGCGTGGAAGAAGGTAACAAAAACGTGGAAGCCCTACTGGACGGGTTGCGCAGGTAATGGGGGGAAAAACAGAGACAAAAGATGTCTCCCGGGTCAGTTCTCTTTGCAAATTTCGACTGTGTTTTTTGGCAAACCTGGAGCGAGCTCGGTTTTTCGAAGCAATGTTGCTTCGTTTTTTGTCGCTTGTAAGGATTCGCGTTGATTTCTGCTGCGATTCTTAGACGTAGGAATATCGAGATATTGCTGTAAGCTCATGGGCTCCGGTAGACCACAAGTTTACTCGGATTTTCGTAACACTACGTGCCACGACAATGCTTGCAGACGAGTTTGAATCTTGTCGTTTTATTAGATATCTGCGGATTCCTGTGTAATAAGCTTGGGGGAACTACACGGTCGGCCCATAACTCCAAGGAAGCACTGACAAGCCTTCCCTGAAGTCGAACCGACGGGAAAAAGGATGAAAACACGTGTGTGGAGGCTTCGGAGAAGAATGGGAGGCATTTCCAAGAGGGTAGGAGCTCCTACCGGGGAAATTGCACAGGAAACAGTAGCTCGTTGACGTAGAAGCAGGTAGGGCGGAGCGTCGACATCAGGAGGAAGTTAGTATAAGTAGATAGCGAGTCGATGCCTAAACATCTCGAACCCCCTGATGAGGTCGCTATCTGGCAGCGACCGAAACTAGTCGGGGATGCCAACTACCTCTGCTTGACGGAGGTGCCATAGCCAAGGTTATGGTGTACGCTTTAATGTCCTATCCTTCGAAGTGCTATAGCCAAGGCTATGGTGTACGAGCCTTAATGTTCTATCCTTCAATATTCTTTTTCGAGATTGTTATCACATATGCTGCCACGCTCTTCGTGGTTATGTGTTTTCAGCGTTGTCTGGTCGTGAATGACCCTGGTGTTTCTATCATCATCTTCAGCTTATACAACCTTTGTGTCCATCCTTCATCTTCATACTTCTGTTCATTTCATTTATGATCTTCATATCATCTATACTCTTAATGATGCTCATTCGTATGTATTTGTTAGTAGTACAAAGGAAGTGGAGGGGAGGGTGGAGGGTAAGGGATAAAAGTGTGTGTGTGTGGGTGTGGGTGTGTGTGTGTGAGAGAGAGAGAGAGAACACAATCGAATGAATCTACCGGTAGGACATGGAAATATACACTGCCGCACTTTTTTTTTTTTTTTTTTTTTTTTTTTTTTTTTTTTTTTTTTGTGTGTGTGTGTGTGTTTGTAGTGGATGTGTGTAAACACGGCCACCCGGTATAGACGGGAAACAAGAACATCACATATTTCATATGACGACAGGTTAGTAGCAGTTTAAACATAGTGAGTGTTTTAACCATCAACTCATCTATGAGGATGCGAGAGGGGTTTGCGATTTAGATTATGGGGGAGCACTTTAGTAATTGGAGTTAGTAATTAACGTTAGCGATGGCTGTTGAGGACAACCATAGGGGGGGTGCACGCCCTGAAGCGCGCTTTTCGCCGCTTAGCACCCATAGCAGCTCGTCAGAGGGATGTAGCTCCACGTTAGTTTGTAGGTTAGGGAGGTTAGGGTGAGGTGAGGGAAGAAAGGGCTTGGGGAAGGTTAGGGGTATGTTCGAGTGAACCCATACCTGTGAGCGGAATGCCTGTGAAGACGACATTTCTTCAACAGACGTCATTCTCCCTCTGTGTGTTAGGCCGCTCGTAGA